ATATATAACTAAGAACTTGTTAATAAATAGACATAAAATTTTATCTATTAGACATTAAAAGGTAGCTAGTATATTGTACAAACCAAAAGGCATAATATTAAACTTATATGTTCTATGCCGAGTAATGAATACTGTTTTTTTTTATCCTTTTCTTGTACAGTAACTTGCCAATATCTACTAGCCAGATCCAAGCTTGTAAACCATTAAGCTTCTTCAAAGACAGATAAAATTTTATTAATATCAGAAAAAAGATATACACCTTTTGTTGTTACTGCATTAAACTTTCAGTAATCAATACAGATTCAACATTTTCTATTCTTTTTGGGTACAATAACTACTGGTGAGAACCATGGGCTATTTGATTCTTAAATGATTTCACATTTTTCTATTTCTTTGATTTTCTTTTTCAAGAACTCTAAATCATTGGTAATACTTTGTAGGGCATTATTTAATTAGTTTAGCACCAGGAGTATTAATTTTGTAGCAAACTTCTTTGGTTTATCCAAGTTCTAAGGTTTGTTCTTCTTTAAAAATATTTTTAGCAAAAATTTGGTGGTTGTTTAGAAGAATTTTTTTAGCTACTTCCCTTTGTTGTCTATTCAAAGAAGTATTAACAGTTAAAAGAGAAGTTGTAGAAACTTCAGCAGTTAAAGCAATATATATTGCAGGATTTTTGTCAGTAACAACATCAGTCCAAGGGTTGTAGAATAAAAGGTTATTATCTTTGTCTCTTTCTTCAATATAGTAGGTTTGCTTTATCTTGTTCTTCAATTTTATCAATCTATTTATTTTCATCTGTGAATTCTTTAAATTTATTAGATATTAGCTCTTCACTAATATGGGCCATATAGATTGTAGCTCTTTTTCCCAAGTATTTAATTTTTAAAGTATGATTATAAAAGTCAAAAGTAGCTCTAAATTTTGTAAACCAATACATTTCTAACAAAAGAGTTTCATCTTTAGATTCAATTACTTGCAAGTTAATAGGGATTGCAATATTTTGAAATGCAATATTCATATCACTAATTGAGCCTAGAGCTTTTTTTCTAGCTCTATTGGCAGTTACTACAATAGTTTTGGATTCTTTAGTAATATGTAATCCTAGTCTTTGCATTAGCTTCTTGGTAATAATGCTAATAGTAGCACTGAAATCAAAGATAGCAAATACTAGTTGTCTTCTAATATTAATATAGCACCTCATAGCAACAGTTTTCTTTGTTAGACACAATTCCAAGTAGTTTGTTTCAGTAGTTACAACAGTCTTTTTTTTTATTGTTTAGACAAGATTTTTAAGTTAGTTAGGATATTATAATAGTTATCTATAAGTAGCTTGAGCAGGTCGATTTAGCAAATCTTTTGCAATATTATAGGGTTCAAGTTGGTTAATTATAAAAAGCAATTTCTTTGCTAGGCTTCTCTTTGCTTTAGTTGCTTTTAGTGTTGGCTTGGGAAGTTCAATAGGTTCAGCTTCTATTTTCTCAAGTTCGATATCAGATTCAGTGTAGATAGTCCTATTTTTAACTTTATTTCTCTTTGAGATTCTGATTGTTTCTGAGCTTCTTTTTGAACTTTTTTGTTTGTTCTATATGGTTAAGATCTGGGTGCTCTTGTAATATAAACTTTTTCTTTTTCAGTGAGTAGTCTTATTTTATGGCTGTGTAGTTAATCTTCTTCCTGGTTGAGGATTTGCTATTTATTTGATATCTTTGTTCTTTTGTAAGAAAATATTCAGACATGTAGTCTCTGACATAGTGTTCTTTTTCATCACATCTAAAGCAAGTAATATGTGGTCTAAAGTTATTGTTATTATTATTAAATCTAAGTCTGGATGTATTAGAAGAATAATTCATTTGTCTTGGTTTGGATGTGTAGGATAGTTCAGCTTGAGTAGTCAAGGCAAAAGCAATTGATGCACAATTAAAAGATATTTGGCTTATTTGTTTAGTTAGTTGCTCAATTTTTTTTTTGTATTTGTTAGAAGAAGTTTCTTTAATAGGACCAGGGTCAGTATTATAATAGAAGTTGTAAAAGTCTTTTGATATAAAGGTTGTTGCTGGGTTGTAAATATTACAAGAATTATCAGATTAACTCAAAGATGCTTCAGATATATGTTCTTGTTGGTGTATAAATATCTTTATACTATAACTTTAAAAATTAAATTGTATATAACAATAAAAAATTTGTATAGACTTCCAACATTAATTGTGGCTCAGGGTGGTATTTTTTACTAAGATATGCTTAGTAGAAAAGTTGTACAAGGTCTTCAAGAGTATATATTTAAAATTCAGCTTAAATAGAGCAATATTGATAGACTTCACTTAGTACTAAATATTTTTCAAATTTATTATAAATTTGGGTTTTCCTTCACAAGATATCACAAATAGAGTGCTATATCTCACAGTTACTACCAATTTGTTATCCTATATCTACTTCTTTAAAAATAGTAGATAACTAGATTGACTATAGCCAGTGAATACTTTGTATAATATCCTGAGTTACTGTATTTTAACTAAGTTGATATAGTATTTTTACAAAACTTAACAAAGAAGATTTAAGGTAATTTGCAATTATGAAAGAAGCAACAATTAAAAGTATATGAAAATACTAATAACTGTTTAGGATTTTGTATCAAAAGGTATTTTATTATTAAAAGTGTATGAAGACACAATGTCAAACTCAAGGTTCACATTGGCTGCTTTTATACTTTACAATTTTTTAAAAACATAAAAGTCTATATCTAGTATCTATGCTATTAATATTACAAATAGTACTAATAAGATATATAATATATATAATATAGATACTACATATAAGATAAATAATATATATATGACATGTAAAATAAATAATATAGATGCTATAAAAATAATATATAATAAATATACTACATGTAAAGCATTTCATACAGTTGATCATCAGCCAATTAGGTTATACCACATATAATAGTTTCTAGATTTATTTTGATGAGCTAATTCAAATAGTAGTAGTTTCATTTTGTTTGAACCAGTGGTTGTGAAAATATTAGCCAAAATGGTTTTTTCTTAAAGATCAACAGTATAGAACTTCTTAGTAACTATTAGAGTATTCAAAATAGAATATTTCTTAGGAAAAGAAACAATTAAGATAGAAGAATTGTGAATACAATCCTAGCAAAAAGAGAAAGCCTCAAAACATCATCAACAAAAAACTAATAAAAAAAAGAAATATCGAGCAAAGAATCAAGGGTTAAAACAAAGAAGATCGAATAGAAAGAAAAGCTCTAAATAAGATTACTGAAAAATCAAGACCAAGAGTGTCAAAAACTACTATGGTAGAAGAAAAAAAGTTAGAAGATATACAAGCCAATAATATACAAAGAGATATAATAGATTGGGCAATAGAAGCTCTGTATCTGTCAAGTGAAAAAAATGCTCAGAGCAATAATAAAAATTAGAAAAAGAAGAAAAAAGATCTATTAGCAGAATAGATTCAACAGACCAAATCTTATATAGCTAAGAGTATAGTTAGAGAAGACAGAATCCAAGTTATTATAGTTGAAAAAATAACAAAGTTAAGAATCAAAGAAAGAAAAGAAAGATATACTATTGAATATAGTAAAAAGGATCTTATTAGAAGTATTAAAAGATTGAAAAGCCTATATTAAACTACAAGAGAATTTTCTTGAAAAGAAGCTGTACCCAAAAAGGAGAAAGAAAAGAAAAAATACTCAGGTCAGTAAAAAAAAAAGAAAAAGAAAGAATACTTAAATGAACTGAACTTGAGAATTAGAAAAAGCTTCAAAGAATATTAAAAAAGAGAAAACTCTTATTAGAACTACAGAACAGAAGAAAAGATTTAAGAACAGAGCTTCGAAACAGGAGAAAAAAAAGCAAAGAGAAGAACTTGATAAGACTTTTAAAAGCTGGATCTCTGATCAAAAAGGATTAAATAAATTAAAAAAAA